TCCAGAAGATATCGCCAAATCGATTGTCTTCTTAGCCTCTAAAGAGTCTTCATTTATAACCGGAGTTAACATTAGAATCGATGGCGGCTTCCTTGACTCACCCGCTCTTATATTGCAGTAAATGTACTCTTATTTACAGATTCCTTACAGACTTTATGATCAATATTTTATTAATAGACTAAATTTTAATAATAAATATTAATTAAATTAGTTAAATTTGATTAGTTTATAGTATAAACTTTATACTGTATTAACAAAACATGTAGTGAGTAAATAAAATTATTAATAAAACAAAAATATTTTGATTAATTATCACTGATTAATACTAAAGTTTAGTAAAATATTATCTTAATAAAGGGAAAGTATGCGTCTAGGGAGAATCTTTATAAATTTTTGTAATTTAATTTATTTAGATAAAGTTAACATAAAATGAAATAGGGGTTAATTAAATTTTAGTTAGTGGCGATAGTTTTATTTGCTGAATTATATTCTAAAAGTGGATAATAAAAAAGTGTATTAAAAAATATTATTTGTGGAATACATTAAAGTTACTCATATCTTAATTATATATACAATTAAATGGGTCATCTAATGCCACATAGCATCATCTGTATTACTGTAAATATTTTTCATTTTATTTTGTTAGTTATTATAGAACTCTAATTATTACAAAAATTCTCAACTCAATTATATTTTGTTGAAATTTGGTAAGTAATCTAATGATCCAATTACTAGTTCAATTATTCTTATAATAACTTATTATTAATAAGTGAATTCAACATTTTTCAAATTTAGAAATATATCCAATTATGAAATAAAGTAAGGTATAAGAGTGAATATTAATAATAAATACATAGACAACCAACTCTATAATAGGGTAGGGCTGATGGATATAATATTTAAAAAAGATTATGCTTGTTAATTTAGTGGTTTTATAAGAATAAAAAGAATAAAGACCATACAAACGTCTTGTTTAATTTGACAACAGTGTATTTAAATTTTAATATAATCTTCATATTATAAAATAATATTAATGTCAAACTGAATTCATAATTTATGAGATAGCAAGAAATTTGAACATAAATTCATAAATTATACAACTTATTATTATGAAAATAGAAAGTTATTCAAAAAATTCAGAATAAATTATATATTATAATGACTTCAATTAGTTTCCAATTGCTTTTGGCTTCAAAAAATTATATAAAAACAGTGGTTTGACTGCAACTGCTATTTGGTTTATGTTGTATTGAATTGACAACATTGAATTACTGATAAGTTTACAAGTCTTTAGCTATAAGAGATTCACATTTGTTTGAATAGATAACTTATAAGTGGTGCGAGTGTTACGATGTCTTCAGATTTAAAGTTTAATGGGAAAGTAGTTTTGGTGACGGGCTCGAGCTCTGGCATCGGGGAGACCACTGCTCTTCTGTTCGCCAAATTGGGTGCAAAAGTTGTGGTCACCGGAAGAGATGCGACCAAAGTTGATGAGGTGGCCCTTCAATGTCAGCAAATCTCACCGCAAAACTTCAAAGTATCGCTTTTTATAATTATATATATATATATATATATATAAGCAAGTATATTTATAATTGATTGGCAATAATGGCATATTTTTGGATTTATGTTTAGGTTCTGAAATTTGTTGGGGACTTAGGAGAGGATCATAATGTGGATCGGCTCATGGATCTGATAGTTAAGACTTATAACCAGTTGGATGTAGTGGTGAATAACGCCGGCAGAGGAATAGATCGGACAGAGACGGATCCGATGAAGTCTTTCGATGACTTGCATAAAGTGAACCTCAGATCCATTTATCGCATTTGTCTTAAGTATACCAGAAATACTA